CTTCTAACCCTGGTACGACCACCATGCATGCCTAAACAAAATCGAGACTCGTCACTAAAGACAATACTGTTCCATTCCTGATCCCAGAGTGACCGTTGTCTGCACTACTCAAGGCGATTACGTCGGTGTTCTCGAGTTAAAGGGAGGATCCAGTGTGGCCGGTATGAAAACAAGCCAAAACTTCTCATTCGTCGGTAAACACTTCGCATGTCCAACTGATAAGGCCGAAAATTTTTTCACTTGTTATCTACAGTAAGATAAATTCATTCACCAACTTTTATTAAAATAAATCCATTTAAACTGGGTGTACGGATTTATATGTCACTTAGTATATCCTAAATATACTTTAGTCAATTTTGTTAGAATTTGGCAGTGGTATTTATAATTTCAAGGACCTAATTTAGTCTTAACTTGATTAAGTTTATTATATCCAGTGGCGTCTCAATCGGGATCTGAACGAATATTTTTGACAAAGAAATTAAAGCAATTGAATTTTACGCAATTTTTATATGTTTCTTAGATTAGGCAAATCGAAATGCAACTTTTTTGTTTCTTGAATTTTTTTTTCTTGCTTAGTTTCCGAGAAAAAAGGTCCACTTAATTGCCTATCCCTGGACCACTCCAGGAATATGGGAAAAAGTTTATTTTGGAACTTATTATTTTTATTTATAACACTGATCAACACCCAAAAAATGTCCTAAATAAAATCAACAAAATATTACTATTTTTAATGTGCTAAAACCGGAATGAAACTTATTTTTTCAATATTAGTTCAAGTTTTAGAGATACGGTAATTATATGTGTTCCTGCTGTGACAGTGTTAATATACTGTAATTCACAAGAATGCACGTGCTACATTTTTATATTCGGCAAGGAAAGATGATGTAATCGGCATGATTGTGTTACGTTATACATACGTGTACATTATATTGTTTTATATTAGCCATTTTTTCCTCAGTCAGCTGACAGTGTTCATGCAAGATGTCTCGAAAGTGTGTAAACAATCCAGATCAGTTTTGTTACGTGTGTGGTGATGTCTTCCTGTAGGGTATGCAGTTCACATGAAAGAATCATATGACAATATGAAGTACCTATTGACATGCATAAAATACGATGAGCATCAATGGCATATTTGTGGCAATTTGAAAGTTGTTGCACTTTTACTTGGGCTGCAGCTAGGCTACAAAAAGTTTTGCTATTTTTTGTGTGAATGGGACAGTCGGGCAAAGGCACCTGATTACACCAGACAAAACTGGCCTGTTCGTCAATTCCTAGAGCCAGGTCAAAAAATGTACAGCATATGCCATTAGTAGATTCAAAAAAAAATTATTACGACAACTGCATATCAAGTTGGGCCTAATGAAAAACTTTGTCAAGGCATTAGATAGAGATGGGTCAGCTTTTCAATACCTGCGTTAGAAATTTCCAAGACTAAGTGAGGCAAAGGGGCCACAGATTCGAAACATTTTGAAAGATACACAGTTTGAAAACACTTTAACAGGTATTGAAAAAACTGCTTGGAATGATTTCCGTCTGGTGGTCACTAATTTCTTGGGAAATAGAAAAGCTGACAACTATAAGACCCTTGTCAAAAATATGCTGTCATCGTATCAAAAGATGGGCTGTAATATGTCTCTTAAGATACATTTCCTACACTCACACCTGGACTTTTTTCCTGACAATTGCGGAGCCGTAAGTGATGAGCACGGCGAACGTTTTCATCAGGATATTTCAACAATGGAAAAAAGGTACCAGGGAAAGTGGAATCCTTCCATGCTTGCAGACTACTGTTGGACTCTTGGTAGAGATGCTCCAGAAACGATCCATAAAAGAACAGCAAAAAGACAGCGCATATAGTGATTCTTATAAGTATATGAATCTTGTTACTTTTTTAATATATCCTTAAAAATAAAAAGTTTTTTTCTAAACCGCAACTGATTTTTTTATTTCATTGTCATTTTTGGGTTCAGCGCCCCAAAGTGCACTTTTCCCACAAGATACAATTAAAAAACTAAAATTTGTTGTCCAGTGTAGTTTTTTATCACTAAGTATGTAGCAACAGCAAACACAAAATAAGATTAACATATAGAATAACAAATGTCACTAAATCAAGCGTTGGAAATGGACCCCTTCGGCTGTTTGTATCATCTTTTTGTCTTAAAATTACTCGAAGAATCATCTGTTAAGTTTAAAACACCCTGTTTATGTAGATTATAGGTAAGTGTCTGATGTCCCGAATTAGCTAAATAAATGAATAAACAAATAATAATGACTGCTTGTAGGAAGTGTCGGTGGCACGTCCCGTACTAATTCGAAGGTAATAAAAATATCCGCATACAAGTTTGCAACAATCGATTCCAAGCAGACAGTCAAGTTAACCGCAAAACTTATATGATCGCCTCGAAATTTACAGTCTCGATGGCCATAACAAGATAAATAAAAATTGCCGAGCAGCCGTTATTACCACCACTGGCACTGGCCGGACATGGACATGGAGAGGAAGATGCGATGTGCGAACCTACAACCGCTTATTTTTATTTGCTTATCGGAAAATATCTCGCGACGCCATTTATATGCATGTACTAATTACCACATGATATACGTTGAAACTGGCATTACACACTTTCTGTCGCTGTGACGGAAATTGTGTATATCTTTATTCAAATACTGATGATTTAAGTGCTGGACTTAACTACAATTTGTAAATAACGATGGCTTTGAGAATCAGCAGTATATAAGGCCTTCGGTTGCTGCAAGTAATCGAAGGCAACATAAGTGTTGTTACCAAGATGCCAACCAAAGAGCGACAAATGTTGAATTAGTGAGAAATGCCCATGATTTTGCGCAATACGTAATAGATCGATTTTCAGGCGGGAGTTTTTCTCTCTGGAAAGTAGCAAATTCGCACAAAAACGCTGACGGAGTGTGTATCCAGAGGATCTACTCCCAACAAGAGTACCGCTTCTATTCTACAAAGCTAGTCCAAAAGGCTTTTTTTGTATGATTTCTGATTTATTATGGAATTTTACAAAGGCGAAAGGAAGATCAAATTCCAAATTAATAATCGTTTGTCAGAAATATTTCACCATCGACATTAATTGCTACTTTTATTCGTTTTGTTACGTTTTGTACGATATCTAGTTTTTATGCGCCTACTTCCTAGGCCCTGTGTAGGGTTTCTAGCCCCATTACCAAGCGTAAGCAAACTGTGAAATATAAAACTATCATCGGCAATTCAACGACCAAACTTCAAGTCATCGTTGGTTATCAGAGCGGTTCATGGGACCTTAGATCTTGTGTCAAAGTGTGTCAGGTTGGTAATCCGAGATCCAGACAATTTTAAGAAAAAAAGGGAAGAAAACAGGCAATGCGGAAGAAGAGCATATTTAAGGACAGGAAGCGTTCAGGCATTATTATCACTAGAAAGATTTTGGTGTGGTTTAAACGTATTTGATTTTTGTGCGGATTTTGTTAGAATGCTCTGATTTGGTTGTTCTAAATCATTGATTCCCAAAGTGGTCTATATCGACCCCTAGGGGTCTATGACAACCTGCAAGGGGTCTGCGTCAGCGAAAAAAAATTTGGGTGTCCATGAAATGAATCTGGGGGTCCACGATAGTGGATCTCAACACGTACACTGATAGTACCTATTTACTTACATCATACTATCTTATAATATCAAAACATATACATTATTTATAAAAGTACCTATGAAGTAAAAAATTTATTATATATGTTCATAAAATTGTGTAAGTTGTAGGATGTTGGTATTCGCTTTGTGGTCGCAATACATTTTGAACTTGTAAAAACCTGAGTGTCGCAGTCTCAGAGCTTCGCTACCTTGCTCTGACTTGTTCAATTCGTCACTCTATAAATACGAATGTGGGACAAATACGTTTATTCGTTTCCTGAATCTTGAAAAGGAAAGTGCTAAGAAAATATTTAAAAAAATATAAACAGATAGTATATCACACAAATTATAGTGAGTCAGTGTTATTTTGTTTGAGAGTGCTGGAGAAAAGTAAGTACATTATTTTTTATTAAATTTTAGTTTTGTACTCGTAGTTAGCAAATATAGATAAATTACGCCAATCATGACTTTAGTTATTAGTAGTTAAATATTCAATCATGCAAAATTACACGAGTACTCCTCAATAGTTTCTTTTTGAAAGTTTTAGCAATCGGTAATATAATTACAGTGCAATCTCCGTAATTCGAGCTAATTGTTGCAAGAAAATGTTCGAATTATGGAATGTTTTCGGAAAAATCAAAAAATATTTTTAATATACAGCTGCTGGATTTTCTGTCTTACTTAAAGAATTTAATTTTGCCCACAGATGACTGATGCCATGTCCGAATCTAAAAAGAAATGTAGACAGTACACTGGACAGAATGTTCGCTTGGACGTCACAAAGAAATGATGATGGTTTGCGGGCGTCTTACAATATCTCGTTACTTATAGCAAAATCCGGAAAACCGCATACTATCGGAGAGAAGTTAATTTTGCCAGCCGTTGAAGAGGTTTTAAAAACTGTTTTGCACAAACCTGCATCTGATATCATTAAAGGAATTCCCTTAAGCAACAATACTGTTGAAAGACGTATTGATGAAGTGAGTTCTGATATTGAAAGCTTCTTATGTAATTATTTGCAAACGACCCATTTCTCTATACAACTGGACGAGTCAACTTTACCTGACAATGCAGCATTATTATTGGCATATGTTCGTTTTATTATGAATCAAGAAATCTACGAAGAACTGCTCTTCCCAAGAACTTTGATAACCAACACTAAAGGTGAATCAATATTTCATGTTTTGAAGGATTACTTCATTGAAAAAGCAATTCCTTTATCAAATATAATATCAGTAGCTACAGATGGAGCACCTGCCATGGTTGGACGTTATCGTGGATTTATAAGCTATTTAAAACAAAATGTGTCAGGGGTGTTAGCAATACATTGCGTCATCCATCGACAACATTTAGTTGCTAAAAATCTGAGTGTTCGATTGCATGAATCACTTCATTTAGTCATTGATGCAGTAAACCAAATCCGAAGCAACGCCTTGAATACGCGGTTATTTTCGCAGTTGTGTGAAGAAAATGACGAACACTTTCATCAATTACTCATTCACACTAAAGTACGCTGGCTGTCGAAAGGCTTATGTTTGGCAAGATTTTTTGCACTTTTTGAGACTATTTTAGAATTTCTGGATACTAAAGATAAAATTTTAAAAGAAAATTTAATGAAGAGGAAAACAGACATCGCCTATTTAACAGATTTGTTTACAAAATTTATGATGGTTAATTTGCAACTACAAGGCGACAGTTTAAATTTGATTAAAACACAGTCCATCTTATCAGCGTTTATTGGCAGAGTTAAACTAATGAAGCAAAATATTGGGAATTTTCTCAGTTCCCCAATTTGTCACAGACAAGCTGCCAGGAAGACGACGTTTCAACTTACGTTCAACATTTAAATGCCCTCTATTCAGATTTTGAATCTGGGTTTGAGGATATTTTGACTATGGTAATACCACCGTGGATAATTAATCCATATAGTGACATAGAAGAAACGAATGTCATAATACAAGAGGAACTGACTGAACTAAGTACAAACGAAGAACTTAAGGTTCAGTTTAAAAACGGATATCAGCAATTCTGGCTGCAAAACAACATACCCGTTACTTATCCCGTATTATGAAATATGTTATAGCGATGAAATTTTTAATTTCCTTTCCATCGTCACACCTAGTTTCAAGGGGGTTCAGCACTGTTACCAATCTCCTAATGAAAAAAAGAAACAGACTGGACATCATTAGCCGAGGAGATTTAAGATTAACCCTTACAAAATTGACGCCAAATGTTGATAATTTATTATTAAAGCATCAGGTTCATCCTTCTCACTAAAAATATTGACTTATTGCTGATTTTATTTATAGTTTATTTTATGTTTATTGGTGTCTGACCAATAAATGCCCGCATTGGGAATAAGTGCCCGCATTGATTTTTTTAAAGAACCCCACTTTATAGAAAATATTTTTTTTTAAAATTATTCTACTATGTTTCTATATGCAAAACTTAAAAGACAGCCCTCGTATCTCCATCTACCTTGTACATGCACATGCAACCTATCTCTGTATGTGAACGTTTCTTTGGTAAGCTCGAAGTCATGCGTCTTTTAGTTGTGTGTCTCCGTCTCGAAAACTTTGTCGTTACATATGAGTGCCCTTTAATCATATTTGTCAGAGTGACAGATTACTTGTCATTGGCGTGCAACTCGAGTTGTCCTGTTATCAATCTTCAATATAAAATTATTGTACAATGCCTGGAAATACGCAATCGAAAATGCCGACAGCTCTTGCTGAATTTATTAGAGTATTTCCAGGAAGAGAATGAAAGCAGCGGTCCCCTGTTACCCCTTCATGCGTACTGGGGAGAGTAGCAGATGCGCCGAAGATTAGTGTGCACAGTGTTCCGCTTATGGTACGGAGACTCGATCTGTTTACTTATTTCATATGGCTTTCATGACGTAATCGTCCAGAACGGTGACTACAAGTATAGTTGAGAAGTCGTTGTCAGAAGTGTCAGGTTAGATTGCGTTGGTTGTCATTTTGCTGGTGGTTTACTCTCCTTTTTTTCCACGGCAATTCTTGTGACTCAGTGAACTCTGACTTGGTGTTTTTATCAGCGTTCGCATTGAAAATGCAATGTATTGAGAATATTGCATCAGCAAAGAATTCATGACAAAAGTAAATATTTTTTTGTTTATTCCTTCCAATACAAATTTAATTTAAAGCTTTTTTTATAAATAAATAGTCATCAATACCGCAACGCCTCTTTGTGCACAAACTTTTTTTTTATTATTCGTTCACACAGACTACATTAGCAATCTAATGGCGACGATGAACTTGACTTTGTCTTTGAAGGTCATGCCAAGGTCAAATTAATTTTTTTAAATGGGATCCTATACTTTTGCCACCGAAAGAGGAATATGTGGAATATGTGAATTACTTGATTGTTCATCTATTCACATACCGTCGGACATCTGACAGTACCTGGTATATGCAGGAACCGTAATTTTACAGGGGACGAAAAAAACCTTATCAATCTTATACTAGTGGCCTTAAGACTCTACAACTTTGGTCAGAAAAAATAAATGACGTTTAACCCATATTTAATGCGTTTTTATCTAAATGAAGCTCTAATTGACAAAATTAGTGCAGACAGCTGATATTTCTAATATCTTTCTTTGCAGTTAGCAGATATTGTACTATGATGCATAGATGGATTTAGTGAGATTCGTGCTAGAAAAACTGTTAATCATTATATTAAATTAAAAGTTTAATGCTTTTACAAATCAAAAAGGTAATAGCATGTATGCTCAGTTACACGTTCAGCTTCTTTCTTTTTTGGAAAATTGTCTTTAAACATGTGACAGTCCTTAGAAATAACACTTATAATTTGAAGTGATGGGTAGCTTTTTTGGTCTCATAGGCCGTACACTGAAGTCTAGTTTCACTTCAATTTTTCCATCGGGATTATAATAATATTATCAAATATAATCAAAGTACTATATTATGGTACTTTGATGTCCGTGACTACATTGTCCCTGCCTGCTCTAATTATTGAGTATCGCTGCACCTCTGTTCGAGAGTAGTCCTTGAAGAAGTCGTAACTCAATTGGATCACCGTATATGGCTCTGGTTTTGTCCTAGTTTCTTTTGACGCCTTAACAAAGTCATTTGATAATTCAATAACTCTATTTCTCAGTTTTCTTCAAATGCAACTGTGTACAGAGTCACATTCCATTTGGGTGTGTCCTTTGATGAGATATTTCTGAATCAGAACGTCGTGTTTCATTGCAAAGTTAAGAAAAACAGCACGCGTAATTGTCAGATAGCTGGAATTGCCGCTCATTGACAGACATGTTGCCAGTGGTAAGTATAGTTTTGGCTCAATAATTCAAAAACTAAAATTTTCTGCAGCTAGCGGACTCTATCACAATGTGCGCTGTAGGTAGATGTCTATGAATGTCATGATCCTCAAATGTAGCCATCCGTTTCGCCTAACCTCTAATTTGTATTACTCAGTATATGACGGTTTTCCAAATATTTCGTTAGGTAGACTGACTCAGTATTAATAGGTAATGAGTCAATCTACCGAGTCAGACACGGAATGACAAACTGACACAAACACGGACTTGTGGGATGCAGATATGTTTAAGCAGCAGAAGATCTGTGAACCATAGTTGTAGATTTTGAAAATGAATTCAGTGGCGTGGAAACAATGGAAAAAAAATTAAAAAAAATCGCTGGAGCGTAGTGTTTCAGAAAATCATTTCCAGCAATTGTTTGAAGGGGTTGGGTTATTGTATATTGCATGTATGTTACAAGGTGTATGCGGTACGTGGTTGTGAATTGTTGTAAGTTTTGTGCCAGGACATCCTATAATTATGCACCTTTTAGACATAGTGAACCTAAGTGAACCTACCTTGTCACGATCCGACTCTGCCTTAACTGGCTTAAGTGATCCCCTTTCTTTACTTTTTACTTTTAAATATTTTTCTAATGGGCTAAGAAACGCCGTAGTCGCCTAAATGTTCAATCCGGAGACTCACATATTGTTCGTTCATTAACTGCCATTTTTGCTGAAAAGAGAAATTGATCAGACAGGGTGTCAAGATAGGGTAAAATGTGGGGTTCTAGAACTTCGTTGATATAACGCTGCGCGTTCATGTTACTTCTGATGAAGATTAAAGGCGACCTGGAACCATAAGCTATAGCACCCCAAACCATAACTCCAACAGTGTGATGAACATGTCTTTCAACAAAAAACTGTGGATTCCTCCTTTCACCACGTCGCCTTCTAACCCTGGCACGACCATCGTGAATGCCTAAACAAAATCGAGACTCGTCACTAAAAACAATACTGTTCCATTCCTGATCCCAGAGTGACCGTTGTCTGCACCACTCAAGGCGATTACGTCGGTGTTCTCGAGTTAAAGGGAGGACCCAGTGTAGCCGGTATGAAAACAAGCCAAAACTTCTCATTCGTCGGTAAACACTTCGCATGCCAATAGGTCATCCGTGTTCTGCAAACCATTCATTTGCAATGGACCTGGTAGTGGAGAAACGGTCCCTTAAGGCCAATAATCTTAGGCGGCGATCTTCACGGTCTGTTGTTCTACGGCGGCGTCCATTGCCCCTTGCTCTTTGCGTACGGCCTTCTCGAAGCCATGCCTGACAACACCTAACCACAGTGTTTACACTTCTTTGCACTCTAACTGCAATTGCCCGAAAAGAAAGTCCAGCTTCCCGAAGTCCCACTATACGGCCCCTATCAAACTCACTAAGTTGACGAAATCGTACAGGTCTCCGTACTCTAGGCATCGTAACCGATCGTAAAGGATGTCAAGAACCAAAATCCGCTAAAGTTGATTCTTTACTGCGGCTGAAATATTCATTGTTAGAGCGTTAGTGAATTAAAAAAAAGCAGTATAAAAACCGGAATGTCCAACTGATAAGGCTGAAAATTTTTTCACTTGTTATTTACAGTAAGATAAATACATTCACCAACTTTTATTAAAATAAAACCATTTAAACTGGGTGTTTGGATTTATATGTCACTTAGTATATTTTGAAGGTATTGAAAAATAGCTGGAGAACCTATATGCCGCCCTTCTAGCTCTAGTCGTTTGTTATAATAAATCGCTGTGGTAAAAAGCTGTAAACACGAAAAGATAAATCAAGAGGTATGGATTACAAATTAGCAGGTATCGGCTTTTCACACCTCTTCCCATAAAAATGTCGATGACTGGCCGGTTTCAAATTTGTTTGTAATATACGATACGGCAGCTACCGGCCGATATGCTGCACCCGAGCAATCGCACAGTCGTAAATCAGTACGTTGATGGTGGCGTTGCTTAGCTGGTCCACAACGTTGCCAAATTTCAGTGATCGTGAACCAGCTACCATAAAAATTATTTCAGATCCACAATCAAGGCTATATATGACAAACTTTGAGGCTACAGTTGTAGAGTCCACCATCTGCTTCAAGTTCCTAATTGCTGCATAGAGTCAGGATAGTTTCTCCAACCGTGAAAAGTGTCACTAGACATTCAAATTCAAATTCCGTTATTAGTTCAGAACACTCTTCAAAGTGGGGGTTTTCCTTTACACGACGTATAGATCTTGAAAACATAAGCAATTTTTCTTAGTACCATAGACACCAATGTACGAGAACCGAGATAAAGGGCTCTGCAACATCAAAAATATCTGAATACCGTCCTGTAGCCGCGACCCGCGACATCACCGAGTGGTACAAGGTCACTGGCTCAACCCGACGACAGAACTGGGTCGGGGTCAGTGTGTCAGGTCAGTATGCAACCTTCAACCGACGGTTACGGTCACGCGTGTAGAGGTAAACGAACCCGTATAATCGATTGTGTTTCAGGGGCACATTTTCAACAAACATTTTCGGTGAATGTTTGGGCTGGCATGGTGAACGGTATGCTCATTGGACCATTTATTCTCCCAAATCGATTGGACGGGATGCAATACGTAGACTTTTTACGCAACATTTTGCCTTCCTTGTTAGAAGATGTGCCATTAAGTGTAAGACAATCATTGTGGTTTCTGCACAATGGTGCACCGCCCCAATTTAGACGCGAAGTGCGTGAGTTTTTGAATGAAT